TAAATTTTTTATTTTTGTTTCACTTATATGTGTTGTGAATAGAAGTTCCGTTTTCATTCTCGGACATTCAATTCGACATTTCACTTACCTCCAAAGTGCTCACCGAATCGAGAAGTGTCAACGATGTATTTAGGAAATGATTGCCGGACACATTCAACACTTTTAATTGATCAAACGAATGCAATAGGTCCATTGGGATGTCGTCCATGTCGGCGATCGACAAAGCTTGCAAATGTCGTAAATTCTGTGGGAGAAGGGAATAGAAAATTAAAGGATAATTCAATTTTATTACCGTTCCGTAAATTAAATCGGATTTTTCATTCCGCTCGAGTAGCGAATCGATGTTTGGCTCGTGTTTGCCACCCGAAAAACGAAAAGTCAACGAGAAAAAAAATCCGAAAATGTGAATCACATTGAGGCAAGTTCAAGCACGGAAAAATGGATTTCATGTACTTTTCTCTCTCGCTCGCTTTCGCTCGTGACGTGAACGACTTTTCTATCATTTAGAGGCTTTTGCTCATTTTATTATTCACACATTTTTCTGTCTCTTTCTCGTTCGTCGTCGGATCGCGCTTCGGAAATTCCCAACAAAATCCCACTTTTACCCATTCGCACTCGGGGAATGCGGAATGCATGAGATACGATGCAATTGAAATACGTTTGATTTACAAATTTTTGTTGTTCATTCTCATCGACCCCATCCCTCTCCGCTTCGTACACATGACATACAATCTATTTGCTCCGGTTTGACTTTTCCCCATTCGATGCTTCCGAGTGGCTCGACTGCACCAACCAAATGTGAAAATGAGCACATAAAATTTAGTACGTACTAACTCAAGCATTTTTATGTGCACAACACTATAAACTACACTCCAATCCGGACACATTTTCGTTCTCTTTTTTCTCTCTCTCGTTTTTCTGTGTTGCACTCGGAACAAATGCAAATAAAAAATTCAACAACAACTGAAAATACATTTTGCTGCTGCTGCTGCTGCTGCAGCTGCAGTGTGTGGATACATGAAATTGGAAAATTTGTTTGTCGTTACAAAATAACCCGCGCGTTCAAAACTATCCCGATAGCACGCTTATATGCGAATCAACACGAAAATCCACGACATTTAAAATGGATTATTCACTCCACACATACTAGAAGAAAGTAATTCGATCCCAATTTTTTTTCATCTCTCTCTCTCTCTCTCTCTCTCTTTCGGTAAATTTAAAATGTTGATTTAAAAAAAACAAATTCGCTGCATTCGACACTTTTGATGCACGTTATTGTTTACTTGATTCTGGCGCGATGCAAATGCAATAAATATCGTTATCCTGCGAAAAATGGGTGCAACCGAGTCAATTGAATCATAATCAATATATATTCCGTCACGACAGCAAAAACTAAACCATTGACCTGTGAACCGTATAGCATGGGCCATGCTAAATTCATTCAGGATGCTAAATTCATGCTAAATTCATTCGGGATTCCATCAAAGTCGTCCGATTTATCGAACAAATACTGAACTTTTCTACAATACTTTGGGATTGTCATTAATTCTCGAGGGAAAAAGTTGAACATGTTTTAATTGAAAATGCAAAAACTCAAAGTTATGCAAAGCAATTAGCTCCGAATTGGTAATGGCTTCAGCAGGGTGAAAAACTACTTGATAAAAAATTATTTTCTGCTCCAATTGTTAGTTTTAAAGAGCAGTTATGTCTAAATCCTCTCAGGAATAAGTGTAAAATATTGTCGATCGCATTAAACTTACGTAGAATGTGATGCGAAGAGGAAACAAATCCAACTGCTTATTCCCACTGATATTGAGTGTGTGTAATTTTTTCCACGGCACCACTGTGCCCGGCATCATTTTGTGTATTTTATTGTAGGATAGATCGAGCACGGTGAGATTCGATAAATGTGAAAATGCATCATTGGGTATTTTGGCCAGTTGATTATGCGACAAATCTGAAACAAAACGAACATAAAGTATGAGGTGAATAGAGGCGATTAAAAGTCCACTTTAAATATGGGCCAATAGAATAACAACAAATATTTATCTTCACTACGTAGAAATGGATCGTTAAGAGCTACCGGGAAAATTATGCAAACTTTGACTAAGCGGTAAATAGGACACAGACTCCTCTTTTGTGTCGATGAGTTCTTAACTATTTCCATGAAAAATCTTTCATACGCAAAACTACACTAGCTGTGAAAATTGTTGTAAAACTTACCAAGAAATTCGAGGCTCTTCTGCGTTGGAAACGCATAATCAACAACGGTACTGAGCTGATTCCCATCGAGATGAAGCTTTGTAAGACGCTTTAAGTCCTTAAAATCACCTACGTCGATGTGCTTAATCTGTGGCAAAAAATAATAATTAACAAGAAATTGTTGGATGAAAAAATTCCAAAATGGAAAATAAGAAGAAGAAAAACAATAGGGGGGAGAAAAAAAGAAAGAGGAAAAAATAAGATACGGTCCAGAAAAAGTTCATTTTAATGGAAAAATAATAGCTAAACGAGACGATGAAAAGATCCTAATGAGCAAAATTTGGATACATAAAAAAACACTAAAAATATGAAATAATTTTCCCAAAAGATATTTACATAATTTTCGCCAAGATCCAGTACCGTCAAGTGTTTCACATGCTGGAATAGTTTCGAGTTGATTTCTTTCAGCAAGCATTTTCGGCATTTCAGCCCCTTCAATTCCTATTTTATTGTGTTTGACCGAGAAGTTAGAAGAAGAATGTGTGAATATGGATTAAAGTCAAAACGACGGGAAATTGGCTGAAAAGACGAAGCACACGATGGACCCACACAAATGCATCGATAGAAAAAAGGTCGACGACTATTCAATTAGATTCTATTTTCGTTTTGCATCGTACATCCACCGTCGTGTGAGCGCGCGTACGATTTATGAGAACGATGGATAAGCGACGGAAAGCAATTTGTATCGGTTTTGTATGAGTACACATATAAGAAAATTCGATTTTCAAAGCCGATCAAGGCAATGTGAAGCGAAGAAAAATTGACGAAAAAAACGACAGCAGTAGCAATAGGAGCAGAAGAAGGAGATAGAAAGAGAAAACCCGTATTCAATCGATAACCAAGTGAATATTCAATGTATGACAAGCATTAGACAGGGAATTCATACAGCTATCGGCGAGCGAGAGTTTTATGCAAAACGATGGTTATTAAGTAGCAAACAAATTTATGATCAATTTCACAAGCGAATGACCGTCACATTGCCTCACTATATCCGTATAATTCTTTATTGGAGACAAAATGATCGATGAAAATAAAAACCAGCACTTGGACTCTGTGCCTGTGCTCTTTGCCAAGAGAAAACTCACTTTGCACACCGAACGGCAACGCAATAAAAAAGCGGTAATTCTCCTGAACGAGCTGTTTATCATGTTGAAAATATCGTACATTGGCACAAGCCGTTTGCAGCTCCAACCAAGAGACTGAATAGTTTGTTCATGCTCAAGATATCGCTAGTATGATTTCATAGAGCGTTAGAGAAGCGCAAAAAAAACTATGTCTATTGAATTCTATACACTCTGCATGTTCCCATGTGCTTCATCCATTCAGCGTTCAGCTCCGATGCTACAGCTCTTTACTCCAGTTTCGTGCGCAACTTCTTTTCTTTCTTTCTCTGCAGCAAAGGCATATACAACGAATGCGTACATATTATATCGGTTGAACGGCAATCTTGTGAACATTTTCAATCGATTTTCATACGTACCATAATATCCGTGAACACACCAGGTGGTAAATCGGTCAATGGATTTCCACTCACATCCAAGTATTTCAATTTGGACACTTTGTAAAAAACACGATGCGCTAATTTTTCGATTAAATTATTGGCCAGGCTAAGACGTCGCAAATCCTAGAAAAAACGATGCGAACATGAGGGAGGTTGGTGGATGAATGGAATGGAAAAAAAGAGTGATATTTTATTATATTGTCAAGTTTCACTGCTGGCACAACATAAATTTTTCTGCTCTCGCCATTCTCAATTCTTTTTTCTCGATATTTGTTCGTCGTTCAATGGCATCGACATACGATTTATCGTCGAGAGAGATCGATGTGAACATAAATAAATTGTCGTAATTTACCTTTAGATTAGCGAACACCCAGCTGGTTAATCCGTTAATTTTGTTATGTGATAAGTCCAATTCATCAAGATGCTCTTGACCTTTAAAATTGTCCTGCGCAATCGCTGTTATATTATTACGAGACAAATCTGCCAATACACCAGACACATTGTAGTAAAAAAAACGATTGATTTCGACTATGGAAAATAAATTGTACGAAAATTCCATTTACCTAGAATACGTAAACGATCCGTACCCCAAAATGAGTACGTTCCAACCGATGGCAAATTGGAATCGGTAATTCGAAGAATTTCCAATTTTTTCAACGATAAAAAGATTGGACCAATTGTTAGGTCGTTGCGTGGGCCACGTATTATCAGTACTTCGGTGTTTGTATCCATTTCAGCGATGGGTAGCGATGACATACCGCCTCGATTGCATATCGTCTGAATGCGCCCTCTTTCATCCAAACTGCATAAGCATTCTTTCGGGCATTCTTTGTAACCACGTACAAACGCAGCCACTAATAGCAGTAGCAACAGTCTGATGTCCATCGTTCTGTAAACAAAAATAAGAACAACACAGTATTGAAGTGGGAATTTTTAAATGGTTTTTTTTTCTATCATTCTCTGTAGTGCTCTAATGCCACAGAAACTTCGACTCAATTTATCATTTGTGTGCCCGAAGTTAGAAGCAAATTGCAAATCCATTTAGAACGACCAAAAAAAACTAGTCAAAGGAATTATAACGAGTTTTTGCTTAAATTTCAAAGTGAATCCCAACAAGAATATTATTTATGGGCTCCAATTCGAAATATCACAGAAACTCTCTATATGATTGAACATCGATTAGCATTCGCATTTGAATTTAATTCACTTGAAAAAATTTGATTTAATGCTCCGCATATATAATGCCTCCAATTTCGGATTTAAATCAAAATCGGTGCTATTAACTGCTGCGGCGGCATCAGCACAACACTAAGCTGATTAAATAGCGTACAAGTTTGTGTCCGCATTAATGATTTAATTCTTCATTGAAATTTCGTAGAACTCTCATGAATCTTAAATGACTTTCAATGAGCCGCTCTGTCGCTCAATCGCCCTAGTTCTCGCTCTCTCTTTTCTGGTACATACCTCGATATTATTTTGTTATCCTCGTCGAGTGGTTTCACGCTATCGTGTCCGTTGAAATTGAATGATGATGTTTTTGCATTTACGATGTATCGAAAATGGATTTAGCATGCGGCTGCGGTTGTGATGATGTTCACTGCCTGGTTCGAAAATGAGAAAGAAAAAAAAGACAAAACATGCTTTAAAAGTCATTTTTCGATAAATACTTAATGTGATACACATAATTAGACGATGTGGTTGCGACAAAATGTTGCTTGTGGTGTTGAGAGAGAGAGAGAGAGAGAGAGAATACCAGAATATAACCGCATATCGGCGCGGACAAATTTATGTTTTCAGCCAAATACCAGCATCGGTTCATCACAGTAAATCTCTGGTTGGAATTTGTCAACTGAACCGTTTTCGAATAATTGTTAGAGCGAATTTCGGACGTAAAAGTAATTAATCGACGGTTGGATCCACATAATTTATTTGTGGCGGCAATAGGCAATGTTCACACAAATTCGAACCGAAGACCATAAGCCGAACACACTCACTCACACTCACACTCACAGACACACTATAATTTGGGTTGTATTTGTGTCACATGTTATGTGATACACACGCGAATGCGATGATTAATCACGACATCACAGCACTGAATAAAATTGATTCGACTTTGCAAAATGTTCCCTACGAAATGCGATATTTTTATTTTTTCTCTCACGCCTAGAATTTATATCTCGGACAGTTCAGTATGGGCCCAGCTCTTGAGCCAATATTCATTTATCTCCAAATTGGCATCGCAATAAAGCAATCCAAATATCGAACACAAAAAATATATGACATTCGCATAAATGAAACAGTGACGAATTGGTTTTTCCAAGGAAAAACGAATCCAATTAAACGATTCGAACAAACAGACACAAACAGAAGTCGATCGACCACTTGGGGCTATGACTAACGTGGACTTTTTTTTCGCTCAATGTTCACAAATAAACGGTCGAAAATGAAATGTATGCATATTTATGTTACTTGCTGTAAAAATATTAATTTTTTTCTCTAACGTTGATTAAACAAATGCAAGCATATTAAAATGCCGTAAACGGTTTGAATCATCCCCAAATGGGAATGGGCATGAAACAGTGAGAGAAAAAGAGACACCGAGTGAGAGAGAGAGAGAGAAGCACAGTGAAATTTACTATAGTTAACAAATCGATGCGCTTCATTACACATGGTATTTATTAACTTGTAAGTTTATTTGAAACATTTCCCTTGAATAAATATCGTTTAATTTCATTACGTATATACGGTGGCTTGGTCCAAAAGGCGCTATTATTCACTTTTGTTTTAACTTGCGAACGAATGTAAAACAGTATGAAACTGCATTTGAATGGCGTTTTAAATTTTTCAAAATAGGCTCCGAGAATTGGGTGAGTCAAATGAGTCAGCCAGCCAGCCAGCTATTCAGTCAATTGAAAATTGTATCTACTTTACTCATGAGCAGCATGGTGTTGCTTCTGCTGTTGAACATCTACGTGCACCAAATGCGTACATGGTAAGTGAACTATGAAAACAAAAATCGTCGAAAAATTGAACCACATTACTTATTATGATTTCCTTCTCAAACCGTGAATTATGACTGGTTTGAAGCAATAAACTCTCTGAAACCAGCTTCGGCTTGTTTTCGTATTATTCCCGCTCAATTCAAGTGTTTTCTTCACTATTACATGCAGAACGAAACGAAGCATTACAATATCCCATGTAATAAACGCCATGTGCTCACCAATTTTATTTATGCTCATTGAAAAACTCTTTCTGTAAAACCAAAACAAATGCACACCGGAGAGCATTTATAATTTTATGGATGCGTATGTTCGAAATGAATGAGTCTTGTGTTGTGGGTGAAATTTCACGGATGAACAGACATCAGTACAACGTCATCGTAGCAAGAAGCAATGATGGTTACTTATAGGGAGAGTGAATGGTAGAGAAAAAACTGTCGAATCGAAAGTAAAGCATACTAAAAACAAAGCGAATCTTCGGTAGTATACAAACCAAATGTGGCACAGCCCCAGAGAGAGAAAAGGCATTGTAGACAGTGTACAATGTATACAAATGTTTTCCCGAATGAAAGAAAGGCCGAACAATAGTTGCTAATCGTTGATGTCATCACAATGAATAATTGCGGTTGTGTTTGGTTGTTGCATCGCATCTGTATGTAAATTTGGAAACCGTCCTCGTTTCGTTTTGGGATTCAACTCGATAAAAAAGAAATTCAAGATTCCAAAATTGAGCTAACGGTAAGCGGTCCTCTTTTTTCTCGTTTTTTTTCTGCTATAGTTTCATTTCTTTGGGTTTTTTTTCTCTCATTTAACATTTGTCGTTTTTTTTTGCAGATTAATGCATGGTTTGCAATGCTCAAACAAGTACAAGATCGCTAGATTATCCCGAATACTATCTAATAATTTTCGCTACGCATGATCGCGCATTTCTCTTGTTATTCTCGTCGGTTTTTTTCTCTCTGTTATTTGCTGTTATTCCATCGCATTGATTCGGATCCGAAATAGAAACGTTGTAGGCCGAGAAAGCAAAATGGGAAGCGCATGCTGTCTTGAAACTATCATTGTGTTCGAATGAAAACCAACAATAGAGGAAAACAGAGACAAAAAAAATGAGGAAAAAACGGAACGAAGCATAAAAAAGTGAAATAAAATACCAGCAGCAAATATATTCATGCAATATTATGGCCGAGTCTTGGGTAAAGGTTCACCAGCAAAGGCAAAAAAGGGAACGATAGTGATGGTAAAAAGGCAAAACACAACAACGCAGAAAAAAATGAAGGATTTACAGTAAAAATAAACAAATGATATAAAAATGACTCTCTCTGTTTGCTTGTATCTCATGGAGCATAGTGCAGAGCACAGCACAGCTTGATGGGCAAACCATGGACGATCCACTTGAGCTGAGCCACTACGTATCATTTTTTTTCTCTGTTTACGTTGATGCGTGGTTGTTGACGCTTCGGCTTTCATCATCACAAGCAGCTTGTATTATTGTTGTGCCATTATGATTATGTCTAAACCCTTTTCTCTCTCTCCCTCTCTTTTGTTTCATTTTCTCTTTTAGTTTTTGCAAGTGGAAAATAAAAATGTTGTGTCCACCGAGCGGGCTGCATCGTCAAATGGCCGACCAAATGCGTTTCATCCTCAGTGTGTATGTGACTTCTCACTCAACTAAACGGTTGTTTTTAGTTCGTCTAATAGCCTGGCCAAAGTGTCATTTGCGACATTAGTACATTTACCATTTTTTTTATCATATCATTTTGTGAACCGGTTGTGGCGTTCGCATTAAGGATTATAGTTTTAATCACATCGTCAGAATCACATGTTTCACTATTCTCACACATACAATTCTTTGGCCGCTCGAATGAGGGCTCGTTTTTTTCCTCGACAGTTATGTGCCATCTAGCGATAAAACTGACGACACCAACAAATCTAAACCGACCAAACAGCAACTGAACAGAAGAAAAAACCGGCTGAACAAATGTTCAATTTTTTATCGCTTTATGCCTATCACATGTCGCCCTCGCAAACCACTTTGCTGATAGATAAATGCCTGATGGCTTCGATGATCCCATTTGCCCAGACAATTTCACAACTATGCGGCGGTAAACCTTTACGCTCACACACACTGAATAATTATATTGATTTTTCTGCGTGGGAACCCCCAAACAAACTAAAATATTAAAGCTGAATTCATTTCGATTAAAGTAAATACACACTCCGCAAACAAGTCAACTGATGTGATAAAATTGAATTTTTTTCCCCATTTAGGGAAAGAAAAGGGTTGAATGGTTTTATTTCCATTACAAGACACTTTGCCATCTTTTAATCACGCAATTACACACACTTTTGTCTCGTTCTTTCTCTCTGTTGTGTAGAAAATAAAAGATTATAACTATCAATTCCAGTTAATCGCATTGTCAGTGTGTTTATTTTATGCACACCACCATTTGCAGTGGCGTTTATTTTTCCCGACTAAAGGATTCTCAACGAAAAGATGGAGCGAATCATAACCATTTGCTTATCTGTTCATGTTTATTCGGTTGAAATCCAATGAATGTATTTTTCAGTGAATAAAGCAAAGCAAAGCAAACAAGAATTACTTTGGTGGTTAGCTCATTTTCAGTTCGGATAATTTAAACCAAACAATGGATTCTAGCGAGAGCGAATCAAATTTCTGGACACAAAACGAACTTAAAACACGCTTTTATTTGGCAAACCATTTTTTTAAGAGACAAATTAAAGAAAGTGTGATTTATACTATATGAATGAAATGATGGTCCATTGTACGATTGGACAATGAATACAATTTTCCAACTTGGAAATTCAAAAGAGATACTGAAATTGTATAATAAGAATACCAAGACAGAAGTTTGCGTTCTTCCGATCGAATAATTTGCATGTGGTCAGTGAACCACTGGTCCGTCGTTAGAGTTTACATTTCAAATAGAATTTTGGGTAACCAATTCGTTGAAATTATTTTTTCAATAAAAAAAACTCCTTTCATGCAAATTGAAATGCTGTCCGTACAACAAAAAAAAAAAATTGAATTTCAAGTCACTCAATCACAACGGATGCACATTTTCTTCGTGTATTCCTACCTGCAAACGGAGTCAGCTTAGCAACACACAAATTCATTCGCAAATTTTCCACTCGGAATAAGAATGATGGTTATCAAAAGTAAGTTTGAAATAGTTATATCGAGCGTGCAGAGCCCGCGCACACAACAAGCGCACAATGCCAACTTGAACGCTCGAAGAGCCCGAAATTCGTTTATTCAAACCACCAATCTCACAATTGGAATGCAAACTTGATCGAAATAAGCTAGATAAATTGCTGGTAATAATGTATTCTAAACAAATGCTTTGTCTTGTTAGTTTGACCGAGTTTGGTGCATTTTGTAAATAGTTTTGGACCGAGGTATTATACAACTGTGGTCATCACTATTTGTTTAACTATGTAAAGTGTAAATATATATATATGTTTTTCGCTCTCTCTCTCTCTCGCAACGAAATCATTTCCATTGGTTCTGTGGTTCAATCTACTTCTGGATCATAAAAAATGTACGGATTGTTAGTGGAGTTCCCGAAATGTTGGAA